CTGGGGTTTAGAGTTCAGTGGTGGCAAAAGAGGAGAGGGGGGCAAAGTCGAGAGGGAGTTCAGCTTCCTGGCAGCCTGATGGATGAAGCTGTTCTTTAGTCTGCTGGTCCTGGCCTGGAGAATCCGCAGTCTCCTCCCTGATGGCAGCAGACTGAAGAAGCTGTGTGTTCAGTGGGTGGGATCACCTGCAATGCAGAGGGCTTTGCAGGTGAGTTGGCTTCCATAAATGTCCTGGAGGGAGGGGAGAGAGACACCAACGATTTTCTCAGCTGCTCTCACTATGCGTTGAAGTGACTTGCAGCAGGACGCTTTGCAGGCGCCATACCACACAGTGATGCAGCTCGTCAGAATGCTCTCAACGAGAGGGAGTTCAGCTTCCTGGCAGCCTGATGGATGAAGCTGTTCTTTAGTCTGCTGGTCCTGGCCTGGAGAATCCGCAGTCTCCTCCCTGATGGCAGCAGACTGAAGAAGCTGTGTGTTCAGTGGGTGGGATCACCTGCAATGCAGAGGGCTTTGCGGGTGAGTTGGCTTCCATAAATGTCCTGGAGGGAGGGGAGAGAGACACCAACGATTTTCTCAGCTCACTATGCGTTGAAGTGACTTGCAGCAGGACGCTTTGCAGGCACCATACCACACAGTGATGCAGCTCGTCAGAATGCTCTCAATGGTGCCTCTGTAGAAGGTGCACATGATGGGGGCCAGGGCTCTGTTATTTAGACATTTTCAGTTGGCGGTAGCCATTGACTCGCATATCATGGGGAAAAAATACTGGGAGTCGATGGCTACCGTCAACTGGTTAGGAATAAGCCAGTAGAACACAAGTTCAACACTGTTTAGCAATGGAAAAAAACAATGAAGCACAAATGATAGTTTATCTAACATAATTTTACTTATTAGCATGGAGGATCATCAAAGGTCAGCAGCAAAGACATTGGTTAATAAAATGGGATTAAATACATAAAGGATATTTGTGTTATTTAACATTTAATTATAGTTTGCGTCACATTCTGAGTTTGCATTTCACTGTTGTAATTCGTTTAGATGAATCTTGAATCTGTTTTTTTTTTGTGTGAGATGAATTAATGCATGTTCACATTTAGTCTAGAACTACAGTAACATGTTTACACAGCGCACACCGCTGTACTTCCGATTTCTCTCAATATGGGGACAGGAGACTTGTCAGTCAATAAATGGGAAAACAAAGTACCTTGCGTTACTTATTTGAAAAAAATAATTTCAAAACTAACGCGTTACTTAGTTACTTGAAAAAAGTTATCTATTTGCGTAACTCGCGTTACTTTACCCCCAACAGTTTCTTAAATCCTAAATTTCATTCGGTTTGTCTTTTATAATATCGTGTAGCGTCTGGACCACTCCAACACACAATATATATTTTGTTAGCTAGATTTCACAAATACTTTGTAACACCCCAGGACGCCGAACAAGACCCTGGTTTCATGGTAACCCGATACATTTACAACCTTGTGGAATGCGAGCCGGCTCTCAGCTGCTTTCTCCAGAGCTAAGGGGTACAAATGCACAGGAGAAATGGACTGTTCTACTAATTAATTCATAGGAAAACCTTCTTTGAATGAACACCCATTTTCTTCAGCTTTAACTAACAAAAATCGGGAAGTGGCTTAGAAAACCCTAAGTGGCTATTCTAGTCGAATTCTAGCTAAAGTTTTTTTTTTTTTTGCTTACGGAATTTGTTGCAATCTGGCCCAGTTCCTTAATGACATCATCCTCCAGGAAGTGACATCATTTTGGTGGGTAAACAACAGCGTAAACATCAGCAAATATTTGCAAAGGATTTTGTGATGTAAGAAGGATTGTTTCACTATAAAGCTGCATCTGGTTTCCCCCTTTATAGAACCACTTCCTTAAATTACAACACGAGCATTCATTCATTCAACGTTTTTCAACATATTCACAAGAAGAATGACTCATATCTGGTAAAATCATTTTAATGTACGTTAAACGGTAGTCGTATCCAGTGTTGGGGAAAGTTACTTTTAAAAGTAATGCATTACAATATTGCGTTACTCCATAAAAAATGTACTAATTACGTTACTTAGTTACTTTTTATGGAAAGTAATGCGTTACGTTACTTTTGCGTTACTTTTAAAATCTGGACAGGGCTTGCTTGTTTGTTTTTAAAATAATTTTTTTTTATTTTTTATAAATTTACGTCCGTACAGTAGAATGCAGAAGAAGACATTTCAACACACTTCAGCAATAAAAAAAGACACAAATGTTGTCTAGAGTAATTTGTGCTTATTAGTGGTTGAACTGGATCATCGAAGGTCAGAAGCAAAGACATTGCTTAATAGAATGGGATTAAATACATAAAGCATATTTGTGTTGTTTAACATTTAATTATTGCAGGTTTGCGTCATATTCTGAGTTGCATTATTTTTTATTCATTTTGAGGAATACTGAATCTGTGTTTT